GGTTGAGCTATAGGCGCCGAGCCGATTCATATTTTCTAACAAGCTTATTTCCTTAGGAAATAATAGAGTGCTTTTAAAATTTATCCTAGGGCTGGTCGTGGTGGCTCACACCTGTAATCCTAGCACTCTGGGAGACTGAAGTAGGATTGCTTGAGTCCAGAAGTCTGAGACCAGTCTGGGCAACATAGATCCCTTCTCTGCAAAAACCTTTTTTTTAAAGACAGAGTCTCACTTTGACAACTTTGGTAGTGTGCTATGGAATCATAACTTTTAGCAACCTCAGTCTCCTGGACTTGAGCAATCCTTCTCTAGTAGCTGGGACTACAGGCACTCACTACAATACCTGGCTATATTTTTAGAGATGGGGTCTCACTCTTGCTCATGCTGGTCTGCAACTCCTAAGCTCAAGCAATCCACTGGCCTCAGTTTCCTAGAATGCTAGTAGTACAAGTGTGAGCCACTGTACCTGGGCCCTCTGCAAAAAAACTTTTTTTTTTGAGACAGTCTTTTTTTTTTGAGACAGAGCCTCAAGCTATCCCCCTGGGTAGAGTATACTTTTTACAGAGGGAGTCTCTGTGACCAGGCGGTGGCATCTTCATAGCTCACTGCAACCTCAAACTCCTTGGTTCAAGTGATCTTCCTACCCAGCCTCCTGTGTAGCTATGACTATAGGTGCGTGCGCCACTACGCCCAACTAATTTTTCCATTTTTTTATAGAGTGGAAGTCTTATTATGTTGCTTCAACTAGTTTCAAATTCTTGACCTCAAGCCAGGATGATTCTCTCACTTTATCCTCCCAAAGTGCTGGGATCACCTGGCCATAGAAAGCACTCTTTTTTTTTTTTTTTTGAGACAGACTCTTCTTGTCACCCTTGGTAGAAGGCAATGGTGTCATACCTCACAGCAACATCAAACTCTTGGGCTCAAGTGATCTCTTGCTTTGCCTGGCTAGTTTTACAGACGAGGTTTCTATGTGGCTCATGCTGGTCTCAAACCTGTGAGCTCAGGAAATCCACCCACTTTACCCTCCCAGAGTGCTAGGATTACAGGCATGAAAAATACTCTTAACATCTTCTAAAGCAGTGTTCCTAATCCTGTGACCCTTTAATACAGTTCCTGTGGGTCATGACCCACAGGTTGAGAACCGCTGTGAATCTAAAGTCTCAATTGCAGAGGTTTTGGAACCATGTCTGGACTTGTAGCACAAACTCATTTCTTTGATATCTTATGTATAATTTTCATTGTTTTGTGTGCTTTTCTGTAACATGTTTGTTTCTGCATAAAATGTTTTAAGTTGGCACTAATCAAAATCTAAATGATTCTCCCTGGTTTTATGTTTTCTAATGTCACAGAGTTGGGTATACAACTCTGTTGTGTGATTTTGAGAAATGCAGTTGTACAAAAAGCCCAAACTTGCTGCATATAGGAACGAAGACTAGAGTATACCAAGCTTAAGTTGTTGAGGAGATAGTAATTGAAAGCAAAATAACGCAGTATTGAGTTCCACATTTTGTTTTGTGAAAAGCTATCTGGCTTATAAAATATAGAAATGACATTTAAGGAAAAATAGGCTGTGGTTTTGCATTATGATGATCATCCTTTATGTGTACTTATTAGAAATGCCTCATTTTATAGTCTGCCAATGAAATGATTTCTACATATGTCTAACTTGAAACTTTATATTTAGAGCAATTGAACAACAGATGGAGCATAATTCAGTTCCAGTTGTCATGCTGCCTAAAATAAAAGAGGAAACCCAGCATCTGAAGCTTACGCACTTAGAATATTTTAGCCTTTGGTGTCTAATGTTAACCCTGGAGTCACAATCGAAGGATAACAAAAAGAACTACCAAAATATCTGGTTAATGCCTACTTCAAAAATGTAAGTAGCTCATTTAATACAGTGAAATTTCAGTATTTTTGATTAGCTGTGGCGTGATTGCATTTAGAATTCGTGACAAATACAACTTATATAGAATGTTAAGGATAATGTGATTTCATTTATTCATTACAACTCCAAATGGTTGTCAATGAATCGTTTCCAAGTAGAGCACCATTTCTACCAATGCTGTGTGCTACAGTCATTGTTAGTGAT